AGTGGAAAAGCGCCAAAAGTCCTATCAAAGGATATGCAAGATAGAACAGTTTGTCTTTTGCTTCAGGAATGAAATATGGGGCTAAAAACCCACAACATTCACGGTTGAAAGAGTGGGAAGAGAGGCAACACAGTACAGGAGGATGTTTAGAGGCATCAGTCACCAGTTTTGAAAGACCCAGTCTTCCGAGTCACATGATCCTTTAGAAATTGTTGTAATATGCTGATTTGGTGCTCCATGTTTATCCATGTTGAAAACAGTTGAAAATCAACTTTTATTCAGACGTCTTATACATGAATGGCTGAACAATTTGGGTCATGTCCTGACTTGATGAAGACAAAACTCGGATCTACACACACACACACACACACACACACACACACACACACACACACACACAAGTCTGGAGAAAAGGACACCCCTGAAAACAGCTTACTATACTTCTAATATTAGACAGATTAAATCTACTGCTAAACCTTGGAGACTTTCAAATAAAACAAGTCCAGTGGTCATGTGTCTTGAATGGACATCCATCACTATTATTGCTTCAAAAGTATCACAGATCTTAAAAAGCAATATATAAGGCACACTATGTTTCAGTGTTTCATCAGACACTCCTGGAGCTTTGCCCACTGAAAGGCTTTGATGGCACCATACATTTATGTTAGGAGGCTGAATGAATAGGGGTATTGTATGGGGATGTGTAACTATGGTGCTCCTTTGTAGTCAACCTTAAGGCCTGGCTATGCTTAATTTTCTGTATTCCGCTCCATTTTGTGCACAGCTTTCAAAGTGTACTGGATAGGCGCAGATGGACGTGTTTGGCACTCTTCTGTCTCAACATTTTACCTTGCGTGTGCGCTGTTGTACACACACCATCCACATTGACACAAAAATTACATCACAGTGCACGGAACACAGTCAGCCCAAGTATACTTTAGGCTTTATGCTTTACCATGAATCTCTCTCAATCCCTGAGGAAGGAATCATATCTGACCGTCCTAATGTGCAGAACATAATTCAAGGGTTCCCTCAGGTCAACAAGCCAACATAAATGACAGTTCGCAACAACATACAGAAGGTTTGGATGGGGGTTACAACTAGAAGAAAAAGCCAATGTTTGATAATATTATGAAATAGACATGTCTGTGAAATAAATCTCACCTTGCCTCTCTTATCATTTCTAACTACAGCCTGCATGATGAGCAGAGTGGTCTGGTGTTTGTCTCCCCCTCGCCCCTGCTCTCTTGGCCTGCTTTGGCCCTCTGGTCCCTCCTGGGGCTCCTCCTTAAAGCAGGGCTCCCAGTACTGGAGGCTGCCTTCCCTCAGTGTCGGCGCTATGCCCGACATGCCTTTCAAGGCCTGCTAGACTGCAGGGCAGACTTTCTGGCTCCGCTGCCATTGTTTGCTTGGCTGCTTTGCACCTCATCCCAGGAAAGGATTAGCATAAGAATACTTCGGCACATTGAGATGTGCCCCACGACCAACTCTCTCTCTTCTATCATCCTCTCTTCTTCTCATCCTCACCAAAGTCCCAAATCTCTTCCTGACACAACACCAATCACTGTCAAGCAGCTGCATCGCAGAGAGTCAGTCAAGCAGAGACTTTAAAGGTAGCACAAGACTGGTGACACAGCAGTAGATGGCAGGAGAAGAACAAAAGTTAATCTGTGGAGCACTTGGGTGCAATATGAGCTCCTTCGGCCAGATTCCTCTGGAGGGGTAATGGGTTGAGACACCATTTCTAGAACAAAGCCTCCAAAATTTGAGCACATTTTGGCTGAGAAGTTAAAGGGGTCATAGGATGCCCATTTTCCACAAGTTGATATTATTCTTTGGGGTCTTAATGAAAAGTCTGTAACATAGTTTGGTTAAAATTTCTCAATGGTAGTGTACGCGTTCAGCAGCTCAGATGTCAGGAGCAAATGACGACTGCTATGTTCATTATTACATCCAACAACAGAACACCTCAATCGCTTAGGAGTCACTCTTGTCTACATCCGTTCCGGAGGTGAAACAATGGCGCACTGATGACAGCTCACTCAGGGCGGGTCTAAGGTAAGACACCAGTCCAGTATGTGCTGAAACGCTACTGTCAATCAAACTATCGTGGGAGGAGCCTGTATGTGTGACGTCATAGAGACAGGCATCTGAGATCAGCTCGATTTGAGAAAGGGGTAAAGATTTGAGCAGATTAAAAAAAAACACTTGGGTGGATTTTTATCATTATAGGGTGGTTGTGTACACACACTGCCAACACACATTTCAGTTC